AGTCCAAAATCGATCAAAATTGCCTAAATCCTTGTGAAATTATTCCAAAGGCATGAATAAAATCTTCACAAGACAGGAAACAAAACAGAAGTAAGTCGGCAAAAGAAAAGGATATTTTTATATATACAAGATTGCTTACATGATTGATTACAACATAGAAACTAAGGGCTAAGCTTCTTGGTTATCCCCGGGAGCGGTCTCTTCTCTATCGGGCTCCCCCTATTTCTCGGACCCGCTCTTACTCCCATCATCATCATCATCATCATCATCATCATTATCATTATCATCATCGTCATCATCGGAAACCAAGGCTTCAGCATTGGTTTCGAGTTCTTTAGCTCTTTTTATCTCTTCAGCAAGATCGAAACCTCGAGCAAGGATCTCCTCGAGGGCCTCCCTCCAAGATCGGCACTTAGCAAGTTCAGCGACCCAATGTGCTCGAGTATCGGCGGTCTCTCTTGCTTGGACCTGGGCAGCTTCAGCGTCGGCCCGATTAACGGCAACGAGTGCATCTACATCAGCCTTTGCCTTTTCGGCATTAGATTCGGCCTTGGCAAGTTATGAGGCCAACCGAGCCTCGAGCAACTCTATTCTTCTTGCTTAAACCAAGCTTTTCTCCTTCATACTATGAAGTTGGTTTTCGGACGATGATAATTGGGCTCGATCTGCTTCTTTCTCTGCAGCAAAGCGATCCATACCTTTTTTCCACTTAAAAGACTCTGCTTTTATCTCATCGACCTCCTCACGGAGTTTCCCGATCATCTCAATTTTTTGCTGCAGCTGTGAGACCGAAAACTTAGCCACCGTTCCGGTATCAAGCCCATAGGATTTTAAAAGTATCATTACCTTCTCGGACAGATCGATATGATCTTGGTAAGCCTTGTCCAACTCAGTTCGGAGGTCTTTTATTTCCTCCCCCCTTTGCCCTAAGAGGAGCTTAAGGGAGTTCTTCTCCTCCGTAACCCGTTGAAGGTAGGCCTCATATCGACGCAGCTTGGTTTGGGACCGAGAAAATGATTCTCGATAAAATGCCGCGGCCTACAAAGAAAGAATAAATGAAGTTAGAAAAAAAACTTAAAGGTAATGTTATATAATTTAAGGCTTACCTGATTCAAAGCTTGCTGCACTCCGTGAAAAAGATCTGATGCGTCACTTGTACCGGTAGCATCCTCGACACCGATAAACAGGTCACAAAAAGGATCCTCTCCATCATGAGGCCTATCTAATTCGAGGACCCACAAAGCTTGGGCCTCCCAAATTGCCCCTGCAGAAAAAGCAGGGAAGGTGGGCGAGTCTTCGATTGCTACTGCCCCAAGTGAATCACTTGGGGCATTCTCTTCGATTCGAAAAGATTCTGGAAGATCCCCTTCAGACATATCCCTCATTTGTTGGCTTCGATGGGAAGCATCTTCGATCTCTAACAACTCGGAGACTCTGCCCGAATCTTTCTCTGATATATCCTCAGTTCGAGGCGGAGCCTTATGAACCACCATCGATCTAGCTGCCTGTGGAGCGTCGGTGGTCTTCTTCGTTCGGGCTGCCAGTGCAGACCCATCGTTCTCTTCTTCTTCTTCTTCTTCTTCTTCTTCTTCTTCTTCTTCCCTTAGATGCATAACTGATTCTACGGTCAAAGGAATGATATTCTTGTTCGACTTACGATCCGTCCTCTTCTTCAGTTTTTGATCTTCGAGGACGGGGGCTCTTTTCCTCTTATTATCTTTCATCGGCTTTAGGACAAAGGCCGAAGCCTCTTCCTCGACGGATGAGGGCCTCAAAACCGCATCTTTGCCCACACCTACATACGGAAAATTTTATTAAAGTGTGTGAAAAGCATCTTATTCGAACTACCAAAAGATACGAGAAAGGTGTTTACCATGATTTTTGGCCTCCCATCGGCCCTTTAACAAGTCATGCCATGAGCTCTCGGCGTATGAGAAGGTCGAAACCAGATCACGTACCCAGTTCTTGAGATCGGGCACTATGCCGGGCATCCAGGGAACCGCTGCATCAGAAAAGGGGGAATATTGGTAAGAAAGGAAATGAAAGGACAAAATAGTAGGAGATAACAGCAGAATTACACTTACACTTCATGTTCCATTCCTCGGGAAAAGGCATCTTTTCGGTTGGAATAAGGTCTGAAGTCCTTACTCGAACGAACCTGCCCATCCAGCCTCGATCCGTATCCTCATCTATACTCGAGAACAGAGCCTTGGTAGCTCGACGTTGGAGTTTTATTAACCCTCCTCGAAAAAGGAAAGGACAGTATAATCGGATAAGATGATCGAGGGTGAAAGGCATCCCCTCGATTTTACTCACAAAATATCAGATCAAAATAACGATCTGCCAAAAGGAAGGATGTATCTGGCCTAGGGTTATTCAGTATTTACAACAAAAATCTATGATAATAGGGTTGAGGGGACCTAATGTGAAAGGGTAAGTATACACGCTTAAAACCCCTCTCACGTGAGTAGTAATATCCTATTCGGGAGACGGCATTACCACTTCTTTATTCTCCCAGTTACAATCTTTTTTTATCCGCTCGATATTCTCCCGGGTTATCAAACAAATATATCTCGATACGGGCTCACATCGGCCAGGAACCGGCAAACCTTTATCGAGTTTGAAATCGAAGGTAAGAACACACGCCGCCAGAATGCATTCCTCAGGCCGTGGATCCACCGGTGTTTTGTCGGCGGTAGATTGGGAAGAAGAAGCTTTTTCTTTTTGGGGGATAATTTTTGATGTCTTCACCATTTTGGATTTAAAGAAGGTGACAAAGATTTGGTGGTTTAGAAGAAGAATTTTGCAAAGAGGAATCACAAATTCGCGAATAAACTCTGAGAATACGAAAAAGAACTTGGAAAATTTGGAAGATTGAAGATATAAAAGTAGAAAATGATAAAAGGAAGGGCTATTTATAGATTAAAGCAATGGCGGTTCAGTATCAGCGGTGGCCGACCACCGTCTGACATGCATTAAATGCCTTGAAAGACTAAATCGACGGGACAACTATCACGTGCATCATGATCGAGTCCAACATAAATGTCAGCTTATAATCCGATCGAGTCGTTGAAAAATTATATATTTTCACACCACATCCTTCCCGAGAAACGAAGGGACTATATGTATATGATCGAAATAGATTTCGGCCTTCGTACTATTAATTGAGGTCGAAACATAATGGATTGAAGAAAGACTTCGAGATGGGTTCCGAAGATGGTACAAACAAGCTTCGGATTCCAGGTATAGGTCAAACACCGAGTTCGAAGTCATCATCGAGCTCGGGTCTGAATCGAACTGAGATGAGATAATTTCGAGCTTAAGGGTCAGAGGCCAACCGGGACCGAGTCCGAATCATCACCTGATCCCGAGTCCATATCGAGCTCTAGAAGCACTACCAACCAACACCAAGGCCGATCGAGTTTGAACTCACAGACAAGAGCCGTTACAAACACACTAAGGGAGAGAATCTCGACGAAAATTAGAAAAAAATTAATTTATCACGGATTCTCCACTATGTATTTTTAATTATATCTAAAGTAGGATCCTCCACTATAAAGAGGATGGCTACATTTCTGTAGAAGGTGGTTTTTGGCTTACATTGTAATTCAAGCACCATATTCTCCTATATTGAAGAGTTGTTCTTTTAAGCTTCATAAATTGATTCAACTTGCTTAGTCCTAAAAATCATCTTCTTTACAACCTTATTTACTTCGCATTCTTTACAATCCATATTTGATATTTATATTTATCCTTACGATTTGTATTAAGCTATACCACATATCCTTAGAACTACGTACAAATTCAACTCTATCCGTTTTTTCGGGTAAACAATTCTATGAATGTTTTCTTGGATTTTTCTATGTGTTATATATGTTTTTGAGTTGTACAGGTTATGTGAGTATCTTTTAGACTTAAAAATCTCGTCACTACTTCACCGAGGCTAGTCAAGATATTTATTAATTATACGAGGTCGGTTGTATTCAAACTATACTTCTTCACATTGCGCACAGATCTTGGAGCTGAGTAGCTGTGGAAGACGAGGCCTTGCATTGGAGACGTACCAGCGTTCCAGATTCAAGCTACCTCTTGTTCATGATAGTTTAGGACTTCTTTTCTATTTATGTAATAAAACAAATATTGTATTTATTTTTTTATCAATTTCGTAAATCTAAATTATAGTAGTGAATGACTTGTAGTACCAGTCCTTGGGATAATTGTATTGAATTCTTTGCAGTTTTTATTATTAAAATTGATGATTTCTAATTATAGTTGTAACTTATACTATTTAGCTTACCTAGCTGGTTGGGTTAGGTGTCATCGCGACTTGGTGGGGTCCTAGGTCGCGACAAGTATTTAATATATTTAAAAATAAAAAAAAGAATTAAAAAGTTATATAAGCTTATAATTAAATAGTATAATTACTACTAAATCTTACCCATCTCTTGAGAATTAAACACTATAATTGTTCCTCGACAGTTTCACTCAATTTCATGTTGATTAAATAATTACTTAGCGAAACAACTATCTCAAACTATATACTCCCTCCGTTACAATTTAGATGAGATAGTTTGACTTGGCACGGAGTTTAAGAAAAAAGAAGAAGACTTTTGTGGTCTTAAAAGTTTAATGGGTAAAAATTTTGTGGGGACATGACATTTGTGTGGTTATAAAAGCTTCTCATTAAGGGTAAAATGGGCAAAATGAAGAGTTTAAAGTTGAATTATTTTCAAATTTAAAAATATATTATTTATTTTAAAACAGACTAAAAAAAAAGTAACTCTATCTAATTTGAAACGGAGGAACTAATTACATTCAATCACACACAAATTGCTTTCCAAATTGCTTTCCAATCATGCTCTAAAAGTTAAAAGTGATAAGTAGGTTTTTTCCCCAAAAGAAAGCATCCAATTTCAAACCCAAAATTCTCCACTGTTCTAGAACCTACTTTTTTCTCCCCTCCCGAATTTTAGAGCCTTCTTTTGTCTGACCAAAACAGGAAAAGAAAAGAAATTCTAGAATCTCCTTTTGACGACTTGCCGTGTGGTTTTTCCTAACTTAGTATGGTATTTGATTTCTTCGCCGTATAGTTCTCCTAATCCGTTGCCACAATTGATTTCCCCCATCTATAAATACGCTGCATTGACCCTTTTTTTCTCCATATACTAGCCATCTAGCTTTGTTATTGATACATTCCTCTGAAAATCAACCAATCCATTCTCAAGGTACCATAACTTTCCTGTTTTTCATATTTCGGTTGCTTTAACTGAATCTAGTTGCATTTGTTTGTTCAATATCTGAATTGCAATGATTTTTGTTAAAATATTTTGTAATGGATTCCGTATGAATAATCAATCAATAGGGATGAACGTTTTTTGAGGGAAAAGGAAAAGTCTTTATAGTAATGTGTGATCTATTGTATTGATTTCCTTTTTACAGTAAATTTTAGTTTAAGATCCATCGAAAAATAGAAGTTTGAAGAATTCACTCTATAACTTAACCTAATCAGCAAAAAATTTAAGATATTTCGTATTATTATAGGGTCAATAGATTCTTATTAACGCATGAAATATAGATTTTGTTGGAGGAAAAACAGATTTTCGAAGAATTGCCTAAAAAGTGACTTATTTGTATAGAAGTATGTGTAGCAGTTGTGATATTTCAAGGGACCTTATATAGGAGTTTGGTTTTATTAATACAGATGCAGATCTTTGTTAAAACCTTAACTGGGAAAACCATTACATTGGAAGTTGAGAGCTCAGACACAATTGATAATGTTAAGGCGAAAATCCAAGATAAGGAAGGTATCCCGCCAGACCAGCAGAGGCTGATTTTCGCTGGGAAGCAATTAGAAGATGGAAGAACGCTGGCTGATTATAACATCCAGAAGGAATCTACCCTTCACCTTGTTCTCAGATTGAGAGGTGGCATGCAGATCTTTGTGAAGACGTTGACGGGGAAGACGATCACGTTGGAGGTGGAGAGTTCTGATACCATTGACAATGTGAAGGCCAAGATACAGGATAAGGAGGGTATCCCACCAGACCAGCAGAGACTGATTTTTGCAGGGAAACAATTGGAAGATGAAAGGACTCTCGCAGATTATAATATTCAAAAGGAATCCACCCTTCACCTTGTTCTCAGGCTAAGGGGTGGAATGCAAATCTTTGTTAAGACCTTAACCGGGAAAACAATCACATTGGAAGTTGAGAGCTCGGACACGATTGACAACGTTAAGGCGAAAATACAAGACAAAGAGGGTATCCCACCGGATCAGCAGAGGCTGATATTTGCAGGGAAGCAATTGGAAGATGGGCGTACTCTCGCAGATTATAATATTCAAAAGGAGTCAACTCTCCACCTAGTTCTCAGGCTAAGGGGTGGAATGCAAATTTTTGTTAAAACCTTGACTGGGAAGACAATCACATTGGAAGTCGAAAGCTCGGACACGATTGATAATGTTAAGGCCAAAATCCAAGATAAGGAAGGTATTCCACCAGATCAACAATGTTTGATCTTTGCAGGAAAACAGCTCGAGGATGGACGGACTCTCGCGGATTACAATATTCAAAAGGAGTCAACGCTCCACCTTGTTCTTCGTCTCCGTGGTGGAATGCAAATCTTTGTTAAAACCTTAACTGGGAAAACCATTACATTGGAAGTTGAGAGCTCAGACACAATTGATAATGTTAAGGCGAAAATCCAAGATAAGGAAGGTATCCCGCCAGACCAGCAGAGGCTGATTTTCGCTGGGAAGCAATTAGAAGATGGAAGAACGCTGGCTGATTATAACATCCAGAAGGAATCTACCCTTCACCTTGTTCTCAGATTGAGAGGTGGCATGCAGATCTTTGTGAAGACGTTGACGGGGAAGACGATCACGTTGGAGGTGGAGAGTTCTGATACCATTGACAATGTGAAGGCCAAGATACAGGATAAGGAGGGTATCCCACCAGACCAGCAGAGACTAATTTTTGCAGGGAAACAATTGGAAGATGAAAGGACTCTCGCAGATTATAATATTCAAAAGGAATCCACCCTTCACCTTGTTCTCAGGCTAAGGGGTGGAATGCAAATCTTTGTTAAGACCTTAACCGGGAAAACAATCACATTGGAAGTTGAGAGCTCGGACACGATTGACAATGTTAAGGCAAAAATTCAAGACAAGGAAGGCATCTCACCGGATCAGCAGAGGCTGATATTTGCAGGAAAGCAATTGGAAGATGGGAGGACTCTTGCTGACTATAACATTCAAAAGGAGTCAACAGTCCACCTAGTCCTTCGCCTTCGTGGTGGAATGCAAATCTTTGTTAAAACCTTAACGGGAAAAACCATCACATTAGAAGTTGAGAGCTCAGACACGATTGACAATGTGAAGGCGAAGATTCAGGATAAGGAGGGTATTCCACCAGACCAGCAGAGGCTTATCTTTGCTGGGAAGCAGTTGGAGGATGGTAGGACACTTGCAGATTACAATATTCAGAAGGAGTCTACTCTCCATCTTGTGCTGAGGCTGAGGGGTGGATTCTAAGCTTGTTATATGTTTCTCTGACTTATTCTTGATGTATGTTTTAGTTTTATTACTTCTGCTACTGTGCAAAGGCATCTATAAGATGTCAATGCTGTGAAGTGTGAATGGACTATTGTTTCTTTAGTGGAATTTGATGTTGTTTCTTATTAAGTTTATTCCTTTATGACATTAGCCTTTTTGAATTACTGGGGTCTGATTTGCAGCTAAAAAATCATACTATGAACATACAGCCTTCAGACTGATGGAACCATTTGAAATAGCTAAACGTGATACCTAATTCTGTGCTTATATACTGCAGAAGAGGGGCTGAGATAACGAGCCTGGATTTAAGTTTGTGGCTTTTATACTTAACTCTGGTTTCTTCGTAGTTTTATTCAAGTTTGTGGCCAACATATCAGTATTTGTGAATTTGAACTTTTGAAATATTTAAAAAGCTTGTCTAACGAGTATTCGAGCAGTGGAAACAACTTCTTGCAGAAATGGAGGGTAAGGTTGCTGTCACGCCCCAACCTCGGGGAGCGCGACCGGTGCTCAACCGAGTGAACCCGGTCGAGCAAGC